ATTCTGAACTTTTTATTTTTTATTGTTTCTTTATGTATCAAGTTGCTTTTCATATTCATAAATCGAAATATAACATTTTTGGTGTTTGAATCTAAATGATATAGACTAAATCTATATAGATATTTCTATTTTAAAGATTTAGAAAAAGAAAACGAAATTTAAATCTACAACAAAAATCAGATTCAACAACAAACAATCACAGGAAACACAGTGCAACAAAAAGTAACAATATGCAACAAAAAACAACACAATGCAACAAAATGAAATACATGTGGTACAACAAAAAGAAACATAAAATAATACTCCGTATATAAGAGTATCACACCAAATATTCAATTCAATCTATTATTCCAATTTACCACATTTTATCTATTATACTATTTGGCTTTGCTTCTTATTATTTCTTCATGACCTATATGACACTCGTATTGAAACTAGGGTAGGTGTGCCTCGTCCAAGCACGCACAGTGATGATAAGTTTGTATCTCTTAGTTGCTGCCACGAATGTCAACCCGATGTCGGTGTTAGCATATGTAGGTTCTATTAGAAAACTCTCCCCAACACTAGAACATGAATCTATCATTTCTAACTTGGTTGTAACACGAGCAATACATCCTTAATTTGTAGCTTGCCTGCAACACCAGCAACACATCTATCAATGATTTTGTTTAAATACACAAGAGATGTTTACCATTGAATAAATTCTTAAAATAAACATGAAGGCACCAGACAAATAGACATGTAGGTACTAGGCAAATGAAGTATATTTGATGCAGTATCAATGTATCATAAGAGTATCAAATCATAGGTATATGTTAGGTAAATGATTAAATAAAAGTAAGATGCCTTTTCATCACTTTGGCCTTTTACTTTCATTAATCAAATCATAAACAGACTTTGTTTTTCTTCTCCTAAGCTATGTTATTGTGTTATTGCTGAACAATGGGGGGCTACATTAGTTAGCAGCTGCAAGCCTGCAATACAATCGTTCTAAAAGTTTCAAATTCAATGATGTGCCCCTCAAGTTAGGGGTGGGGGTAAAAAAACTAGTTACTTTGAGTTTTGTTTTGTCGATTTCCATTAAATTTTGTGCAGCCTAGTTCTCACCAAGTGATAAATATTCAAGGCAGAGTCCTCCTAGAAAAGCACCCCATAAGTGAAGCATTTTCTATTCCGCCCCCACCAGAAATATGTATTTAAATTGTCAACAAATATATCCATTTACTGTGCACGAAGACAACTTGTAAGAGCTTTCATGCCTAGTCAACTATCAACTAATGTCAACCTGTCAAATAGCTCATACTAGTTATGAAATATTGTTAACCTATAAACTAAGAAACTCACACCATCAAAATGAGACTTGTCGATGAATTTGCAACATACAGTTCTTATATTCACAAAAAAAAACTCCACATAAATTTGCATCATACATAATGAAAAGGGAGATGGATTTTCTTTCCCAGGACTCCCAACACCATATCAACTATGATTTCAGCAGTTCCTAGGGACTATGTATATTTTTCAAGCAATTCACTCATTGTGTAATATCCTGTTAAGAGTAGGGTTTGGATGAATGGTTAAGATAAGAAACTATCTAATGGCATTTCAATCACGAATTATTCGTAGCTTTTCCCCCCTGAAACTATTCATCCAATCTGACCTTAGAGGGAAGTAAAATTCAGCTCAAATCCAGTGTATAGCCTATTTCCAGAAACAATATGGAGATATAATCCTTTAACCAAGTAACCCTAACCAAATCTAGAAAAAAAAAATAGATGTGATTCCATGTTTACTTTCACAAATGCAAATAACAGATCCATCAATTTTTTATTCAAAAAGGATTTATTTCAATTCTAACCTCAAACTCATATGAACATGTGGATTTTAACCCTCCAAAAGCCTCCTCCACAAGTCCTCAACATCAGCACGTATTACCGTGAATCATGCTAATATTACTGTGAAATTAAAATTACACTACTTTAGTTCAACAACTAAAACACCAAAAGAAAAATAAGCTCTTAATTTCTTATTCACTGTCAAACCCCAAAGCAAACAAATATTAAGGCTAAAACTAAAAACGAATGTTGAAAGCTTGAAACAAAGAAACTATAAACAAAAAATAAAGGTGAAAATAGAAGAAAACCGACCTGATTTGAAGTCTCTAATGTGAGTAAGAAGCAAATGGCGGACTATCAAGCAATTGGCCAGCTGTGGCACACGGCGAGCCGTAGGAGGTGTCACGCCAGTTGAGGACTAGGTAGGTGACGGGCAACAAATGGTTGAGAAGGATCGATTGAAGATTTGCAAAGCCAAGCGATGGTGAAGAAGAACAAAACGAGTGTCGGTAAGCTTGCATCTGTTCAACAAATCGAATTGGAGATTGGAGAAAGATCGATTGAGAGAAGCCTTTGAAGAGATTTACAGGCAAATAGGAAAGACGGGCAGAAGATTCCTGGAGAAGAAGGCGGATGAATCGGTTCTGAGTAGGCTTGCGTTAGCCTCTTTTTGAAATAAAAAGTGAAAAGTGAAAATTTGGAAGTTAAATATGAAAAGTAATATCTTAGTGGACATAAATGATATGTGAAGTATAATAGTTGACCACGCGGGTAATTTCCACTTTTTAATATAATGAGGTTTTGAGATGGGCCTGGCTCTATTTTATTGGTCTTGAGACCGGTAATATCGTAAAATTTCTTGCGATTTCTTTAGGTCTTTAAAAATTGAACAACATAGAATGCCGTTCACACCTGTGGGCTGTGGCCCTTGGGGTAACACGTTTTGCAAGGCATACTAATTAAGGTTTAATTAAGAATTGGATCGTAAATAAGATTACTTGGCTTAGAGAGATATGTATGGCACTTTCTTTTTAACGTTTTGTCTCTTAAAAGCTGTTAAACATAGTATTTACCCAATGTTTTAAGATATATAAGGTGATGACAAGTTGAAATTTTTGTTTGAAACTGAGATGTCACTATTTAGAAACAGAGAAAACTAGTCATACTTGAAGAGAACCAAATAAAATGGGTCATATCTTAAACATAGTTGAGTGGATCAAAAGAGTAGTGAGTTGGAATCTTCAATTGGGATTGAGGGATTATTTTTTCTATAAAGCTACACATGATGAGGTAAAAAAATGGGTTTAAATTTTTTGCTTAGAATCTTAGTTGGTTTTTATAAAATAGTTGGTTTATAATTTGTTATTATAAAATAAATTCATATAATTTGTTGGTTTTCATCTACTTTAGAATCTTAGTTTCAATGAAAACAATCTCATGATTATTTTGACCACTAAATCAAACTTAGACCATTGAAAGCACTCTTCTGCCACTTTCTTTCCATTCTCATTAAACTTGGGATTTCCTTCTAAATCATAATAGAAGTATTCAATTAATTTGTACTACCTCCGTTCTCTTTTAGTTGCAACATAGGACTTTTTTCACTATTCACAGATTCTACTTTGACTACATTTTATTTATTAATATATTATGAATTAAATTTTTAAAAAATATTTTTAAATTCCTCTCATAATAAATTTTCAAAATCTGATTTTTTTGATTTTTTTACTAATAAGGAATTAAAGATATTAACGGTCAAACTTCTGCGTTGACAAGCGTGAAAAGTTGACTGTTGCAATTAAAAAAGAACGGAGGAAGTATTAGCATTGCAAATCAAATTTGAACTCCGACTCCAACTTGAAATGAAAGGACCATTGCCTTGTTGTCCATTTGCTTCACTTTTGGAGTGTAGTACACACAACTTGAATGAGATCTCTTAGAAACCTTTATCCTGATAGTCATTCACAAACTTATATTTGTTACAACAAACTACAAATTCTATAATCGTGATTTCATCTCATAACTAAGCAAATGAGATTGATGATCATTCTCAAATTATGAGGGTGACTACGTGGTTGTATTTTGCACTATGGTGGAGGAACACTCTAATACTTAGACACTCTCAATTAAGACAGAACATTGGTGGTTTATAATCTTGAAATAAGATTCAATTTGTTCTATCTCAACTTTGATCAACAATATTGGTGTTTTAAGAAAATAAAACTTGTACAATTAATTTCACCTGATCCCTCTCCCCATTTTTCTTGCCCTCCTTTTCTCTTTTTTGAATCAAACATGGAGTTAAATATTAAACACACAGTGGAGTTAAATAATACGGAGTACTAAATTGTAAACTACAATGAGTACTATTTAACTCCATGTTTGATTCAAAAAAGAGAAAAGGAGGGCAAAAAAAATGGGGAGAGGGATCGGGTGAAATTAATTGTACAAGTTTTATTTTCTTAAAACACCAATATTGTTGATCAAAGTCGAGATAGAACAAATTTACTCATTGTAGTTTAAAATTTAGTATTATTTTCAACACGAATATCAAACACACAGTGGTCTATTTAAATACTTGGTGTTGAAATAAAACCGCAGAATTACATTCAGTGTAATATCTATTTGTTGGACAATGTTTGTTGAATAGAACTAAAGTATAAACGGTTTTCAAAAATAGGACTTGATATTTGACTCAAGTTAATGTTAAATGGCTTCAAATTTGACTCTTTCATTCCTTAAAGAAGTTTAAACTACTCTTCTTTTATTATTATTAGAACAGAATTAGTCATCATTTTAGGATAGAACAAAGGTACTGCTATTTATGCAAATCACTTATGTTTTACTCTAATATTTAGAAATTTCTTATTCTTTAACACAAATGGCACATATACAAGGCCACATAGATAAAGTGAAATCTCCATGATGGAGACATAATATTGAGCTGTAGGATTTTATATTTGTTTTCCACAATATAGAGCTATATGGTTTTGTACTTGTTAATTTGCATGGTCAAATGGACTAGTGATTACTTTGTTGAACATCTATTTGTGCCTATTGCATATCATGTTTTACCAAGAATTACATGAGCTTACAATTTACAAGGATTAGGCAAGAATGTTTCAATTCTGATATTTATTGAATAAATACATATGACAACATCAGATGAAAAATGTGAGGGTGTTGGCTCATCAGAAGAGGACCAAGACAACCACAGCGCCGGGGAAACCGAACTAACTGAAATTGATCCTCGGGCCGAAGACCGAGAGTTGAAGAACCACTTGCTGAGGAAGTATAGCGGCTATCTAAGCAGTTTGAAGCAAGAACTCTCAAAGAAAAAGAAGAAAGGGAAACTCCCCAAAGAAGCGCGTCAAAAGTTGCTTAGTTGGTGGGAGTTGCACTACAAATGGCCTTATCCTTCGGTATGCTCTATGCTTAATGCACCCCCCCCCTTTCTTCATTTTCCACTACAAAGAGAAGACAACAAATGTATAATTGTTAGCGTAGGTAATGATGTTGAATTATAGATACATTTTTTACTCATAAGTACATTAAACTGTTACCAAGTAGTGCCATTTTTGAAACTCAGGACAATAACTCTTTACTTGATTACTCCCTTACTCTAACTTGGTGTAAATTTGAGAAATACTCAGGTGTAATACCTTGTATATTGTTTTACCAAGTTGATGAGGTCATCACGAGTAATTGCGGTTCTTATCTCTAATGCTATCACTTGATGAGCTACATTGTTTGTGTTCTATCTGAGGTTGTTGCACTCATCGGTATTTTAAATTGTTAATCGTGATATGTGAAGTAATTAGTTACATATAATATTTCAGGGAAAGTACATGAAGTTCAGACTCTTTTATCAAATAATTTAGGTCAAGTTTCAAGCAGTACCATGATCTAAAGTATTATTTCAACAAATCTAGGGCACTTAGATACAACATGTTAGGGTACAGAGCAGTACAAACAGTTTTGTAGCTGAATTTTTAAAAGATTTGCAAGTCTTGATGATAATCATTTTGGAGTGACTAAATTATTTTTGGTTTGTTAATTGTTTCCACAGGAAACGGAAAAGGTGGCGCTGGCCGAATCAACGGGTTTGGATCAAAAGCAAATAAACAACTGGTTCATCAACCAAAGGAAGCGACATTGGAAGCCGTCTGAAGATATGCAGTTTATGGTGATGGATGGGCTGCATCCTCAAAATGCAGCTCTTTATATGGACAGTCACTACATGGGAGACGGTGCCTATCGTTTGGGTCCATAATAAATAACATCAAAGTCGGAACTAACATGCTGTAGGGACTTGTGATGACTTAGTAGGGACATGAAGGCTTGTTTGGGAATGCCATGGAATAGTTACTTTTACACTACAACCTATGCCGGGAGACTAATGAATTTAAAACCAATCAAGTGTGAAGCAGATTAGGACCGGGTGCTTTTAATTATTTATGAGTATGTATTATGTATTGTAACAGGCATGCATGTAGTAATGCAAATTAATTGTATATGGCTGAGATTGATGATTCAATTTGAACGATCATGCATTCATGCATATAGATTTTCACAGTACGACTATGCCCGTAGACATTTGCTATTGCTTTATTCGGAACCTGGTTGCTAGCGGAGAACTAGCCCTGAAGTATTGTAACACTAATGAGCAGGTTGTCGACGTTCTTACGAAGTAATAATCACAGGCTATACATCGTTTCTTCCCTTTGCAGATGGGACTATCCGACTATGGGAGTTGCTAAATGTGAAGCAAGGGAGAGTGTTAACTGAGATGCTTCAAATTTAGTGGTGTACAACTAAATTCCTATTTTTATGGCATGATTTCCTGTGCAGATTGTTCTTTACTTTGTTGAATTTGTATTTCCATCCTATTAGGTGAAGTGGGCTAAGTTGGTGCCTATGTTTATTACCCACTTCTAGTATTATTTGCTGATTTATAAGAATTGGAGTTGCTATGCAAGTATGCAACCTATTTAACCATGACATTCTCAGTAATAAAAGTCAATGTTTCATACTGTCTTTAAAAGAAGCATTCCAATTTCCACACTCTGTATTTCAGTTTATATACCAAACAGTAAATGTATTAATAATAGTATATATTTTTCTACATGTTTACATTTTCTGAATTAATTCTTGGTTAAGGTCCTTAAGGATAACGCAGTACACGAACTACTACAATTACTACTACTACTACTTTTTATTCCTGTTTCGCAAAGAGCTGATTGATGCAATAAAGAGCTGTACATGACAGGAGAAGATTGTTTCGAGTTGTATGCAACAGATTCTCCTCCATAAGACCTCTCACAAAAATAGCACATAGTAATGACCGGGGCGGCCATTTTGTAAAATGGCGGCGGCAGCGTTGTGTGGTTGCCTGTTGATGTTTTCAGCTCTTGCACCTCCTTTTCCAACCTTTTGTTCTCATTAGAAAGTGCTTCAAAGCAGTTTCTTAGGAGCTCATGGCCTACTTCTGTTTCCTTCAGTTTCGTCCTGTAAGATCCAATTTCATTTTTGAGTTAAACTTTATAAATTTTGACTATTAATTATTCAAAATTTACATTACCTTATCACACAGAATTAATTTCATATACATCATTACAATGTATATTACTCCGTATTGAATTTTTAACTTATTAAAGAGAAGTATAGATTTTTAGATATTTAGATTCAAACTTTTAAGTGGAAGACCGTAAACTCTAAATAAAAATTTGATTACGGTGCGGAGGGAGTATAAAATTTAAATCAAATTCTCCGCTACATTCCTCTTCTCTCTAGAATAGCTTAAGACTCCATTAATGAGAGTTTCTTGTACAATGTAAGTGGTGAGGAGAGACTAATAAAATGAGAGTGGTTTGGATATTAGCCTGAAAAGTCTCGTAATTTCACTCTTTCGGGTTTCCGTATTAAAATCGTGTGTTCATACATATTTATACATTTATATACTCCCTCCGTCCCATTGGACATTGCCAACTTTACTTTTTTACTTGTCCCAAAAAACTTTGTCACTTTCCTATTAAAACAACTAATTTGTGGTTCTACACTTTTCTCTCTCCTCTGCACAAATTTCAACCACACAGTTTTTACTATTCTTATTACTCACCTAACTTGCATTTGGCAAAGTCTAGTGTGACGGAGGTAGTATTATTTTGTGTTAGATTTATCACAACAAAATTACGTATGTTTCCATTTCAAATCGGCTTGATACGGTTCAGTTTGACCAAACCAAACTGTATGCGCACCCCTACTACGAGTATCACGTGAGCCAATTCTCATCCCGCTCACACTCAAAATATGGAAGTAAGGAATCACCTCTTTTATTACATGTGCAATACTGTTGGGATTGGAAAATTCTACTCTAAGTGTATTCACTCTTCACACACTTTTCTCACTTTCTAAACTGATACAATGAACAACAATAGAACACTCTATTTATAGGCTAGGTTGGAGACAAGAGAAAGTTGCATCCAAACTTCCTAGTTATCTCCATATCTCCTTCCATGTTCATGTGTTTGATAGCTCCTTCCTAGAAGGTGTGAGATGTCTCTTGGCAACTTCCAAGAAAGAAGGTGGAAACTCCCTATAAATACTTGCTCCAACAAAGTTGTGCAGGGATAAATGATACTTCGTTCTAGAGTCCCATGGGGCATTGGGGGTGTAACTTAGAATTCTCTTACACGGCCCAATGGCGGATGCATACAAAGAATTATCATATTAACTGAAACTGGGCCATTTGGGCTCTACCTATCTGGCCCAAGCGTGTTTCGTATGTCTCACACCTTGACATTTTGATACTTATACACAAGTTTGATATCTAATCAATTTTTTTATATGTCATAAAATTGAATGGGAGTACGTATAATATAATCAGAATGCTAGTATGAATATATTTTAGCTCTATTTGTATACTTTGACTTTATTTCAAACTCATTTACAACAATTTCTTTAAAATTAAATTCAACAATCCTTATATTTAGTTGTAAGATTTGTAACCTTTTTTACCAAGTTAAAACAGTGACTTTTTGATCGATTTTGGATAGGGATATTACCTGGCTCTTCGATTTTGGAACCAGACTTCGACTTGTCGCGTATGCAGATTTAGCCTCCTCGCCAAGTCATGCTTTTGTTTCTAGGAAATTGACAAGGAAAGTCGATTAGGAACTATATTATACTCCGTACAAAACTTAACTAATTATTAGGGATTTCATTGTCAAAAATATAAAATAAATATTTAATAGCATAGAAAATCATAATAAAAAATAACACAAGAAAATCATTGGAATGAAATACAGAATTAAGAGTTGTGTGTTCTTTGAAGCTGTCTTCTAGAATGACTGACTGGTCCTTGGTCAACTTAAGTTTCTTCCTCGTACCAAACTCTTCATCCTGCAACACTAAATACTCATCCATTGACGAGTCAGGCTTCTCTTGTGACACTATTTTGACTTCTTCTTTTTCCCGCTTTAAACGAAAGCGGGAAAGGGACGAATCCGTCGGAGAAGCTTGATCATTCGTCATCACATCAGAGCGTGGATTGTTATTATCCTTGCCATATTCGAGCTGCAGTTCCATAGGAAATGATCCAAGGGAACAAGATGGGAGATAGGTATGCCATATCATCTGGGAATTAGGCTTTGATCTCTTATTTTCTTGATGATGATGAAGAACATTTGCATGGACATCTTCATCATCACTGGATGCTAGGCTGAGAGTGAGTCTGGTGTTGTGAATTTCTTGAAATTTCATTATATGAGTTGTGTATGGAGTGTGATGATAGTATAATGTGCATGTGGAATTTGTAGGTAGCTGAATAAATAGAGGAAATGATGGCTGGGATTGAGAAAGATTCTCACATCTATTATACATTAATCTATGGGTGGTAAACTTTTTTTACACTATTAATTAGCTCCTATTGTATTCTATAAGTTAATCTTGAACTATTATGATTTATAATTGAAATAGTCATCATATTGAAATGTCAGACCCGTGTTCCCTAGTTTGTAAATGCCACCCCTCAATTGTTCAAATTGCTGCAAATGTGGTCCTTTGAAGAGTGAAATAATGTACAATGGAGGCGAGTACATTTACCACTCAAAGTACCACATTTACAGCAATTTGGAAAATTGAGGGGTGCCTTTTACAATCTCAGAAATACGGGTCTGACATTTCAATATGATGACTATTTTAGGGACTTAAAGTGCGATTTTCCCTTGCATATTTATGAAAGCTAAGTAATACGGAGTAATACATTTATTACTATTTACTTGAATGATAATTGGTATTAATAAAACTTTCAGCAGTGCTCTCTTTGGGATTTTTATTTTTTACTTAAACATCACTATATCGTATCAAAGTTAATTTTAAAAAATTAAAATGACCACATTGGTATATGGATGGAAATTTGACTAAAAGGAAATAAAATTGGAATCACAAAAATCTCATTACCTATTCAATATATCACATAATTTTCTTATGTCACGTTTTTTTTTATAGAGATAGGAGTATTAATTAATTATGTCCGGTTATTGCTCTTCACATTATTGAATTGTTTTCTTCTTCTTCTAAAGAATCACATCCATGATTCATCACTGTCTCCCTAGCTAGGTTGACTATTATATGGCTTGTTCTCTTCCCACCATTTGTATGGGTCAACCCCGGCCCATTCAATGAAATAGAATCTCTTTGTTAAATTCCCATTCTAAAGTTAGCTAGCTCTAGCCTCTAGAGTCTCGGGGTTTGACCTTTCATGCATGCGCTACGTATTATTTCATGGAAAAATACCTATATTGGACTAAAATCAACTCATGTCGATTCCGATTTCCGAATAAAATGCTTCGTAAGAAATGAAGAAGTTCGGATGATATGAATACAATGATATGATATGAATACATGCTATGTGGCATCATATTAGGAAAAAAGATATATAAGTCATATTTTGGGAAATACACAAATATACAAAGATGATCATACATGTGATAATTTTCTCTTATTTCATTAGGTTTTTACATGTTTGACTTGGTATTTTTTGAAAGCTTTTTTTTTATGGAGTTCTTATAATGCATGTGGAATTGAAATTCTCTATTTCTGGAAGAAGGCTTAGATTAATATCACATGTAACCATCCACCCTTGAACCAGACTCAGAGTTAATCACCTTTGACAAGACAATAGAATTCGTTGATCCTAAATTGGGCATAACTGAGCAAAATACAATTACCGCAAAACTCTCATCACCCAATTCTAATGCAAAGTCTTACAACACCAAATAAAATAAAAACAAAAAACAACAATCTCACACCGATTACATCCATACTCTTAGACCGGTGTATTCCATCCATACAACTTACGAATTACGAGTAGTAAAAACACCCGAAATGTACTATTAGGAGGCCGATTATTATATTTTTACTTTTCCGGATCAAATCTTAAAATATCAATATATTTTTATAGATTAGAAAAGGGTGTACTATGGAGAATTTGATACGAAAATCAGAATAATTCCTAGCCAAAAATAAGGTATTAATTTGATGATTGGAAAACCCATAGGAACCGTCCATTTTATATTTGAATGAAAATTAGTGCACATAGTAGTATCGTGAAGGTAAACCGTTCATTGACTTCATTCGAACGGTTGGCCATTTTAAATATCTCAAAATTCAAAGATTTGGCATCGCGATCGATGAGGCTATTAGGCCCATTTTTTTTATGGACGAACTGAAGTCCAAGGAATTTCTTGTTCCAGCTGCGTGCTAGGATAAAAGTTGGAGAATGAGTGGCGGGTAAATTAGGGTAAAATATTGTGGACACGGTCCTTGTCCCGAGCCTCATATGCACACGCACGCATATGACTCGGGACATGACGGTTCAATCTTTTCTTTTTTGTATTTCACCTATTGTGTAACAGGTTAAAAGAGCCGTAAATAATGGGCAGAAAAGTACTTGACTAGGCCTAAATAGATACACAGTTGATGAGGGTATCTATAAAGCAATTAATAGAAATTATCCCGAATAGGAATAAAATTATGGCAAACATAAAAAACAAGACTTTTTATGTTCTTATTCCAAAATAG